GGGGGGGGGGGGGGGTTGAGGTTTTCACGATGCCTCTCTCGCTCGCTCGCTCTCTAAAGCTCTCCCTCTTGTTCTGTGTGCACCTCGATCGATCTCTTCGGGACTTCGAAACGTGGGCAGTGTAGCCTTGAGGAGAGGGGGGGGGAACTGCCGCCAAATCCACCAGTGAATCGACCGCAGGACTTTCTGTTCTTGTGCGCACGACAACAGGCTTTCGCCTCGCACATGCGGTTAGGCCATCTGGCTCTGTGGCGATATAGGTAGAAAAAGAATGACCGAAAATCGCAGTGTCAGGAGGGCCCTGCCAGCCACACAGGAGGACATAGATACCCGCAAGAAATTCAGCACTGCCGTCATTGCCCTTACCGCAGCCCTGTCCCTCTACCCAGGTTGTGGTGGACGCTTGCCAGCTAAGGTTGGAGGACCAGAACGTCCGCAAGTACGTGTCCCTCGGATTCCTCACGCTGATCACGGGCTCCAAGTTCTACTGCGGACCCCCGTTCTGCGGCGCGGTGCTGTTCCCCACCGAGGCCCTCGCCGAGCTCCAGGGCGGGCACGAGCACCTCCCCGCCGGGTTCGACGACTACTTCACGCGGCACGAGGTGCGGTCGGTCGGCATAGGAGCTTCACTTTTCGCTCTGACAGCGTTTGTGAAACGTGGTGTTTCTTGTGGGTCGGCACACAGAGAGACATGCGTTGTTGCTGAGGACTACAATGATTTCGATTGAGTCTACCTCGTCTTGTATGGGTAACCCATGACATGGTGTGTTCTCTTTTTGCGGTGCAGCGCTTAACCTCCCGTGTTCGTTTTCCTGGCGCAGGTGGACTCCCGGTACTCGACTCTGTGCTCGCGCCTCCCGAGCTGGGAGAACCGAGGGCTTTTTCTGCGATGGGCTAGCGCCCTGACCAACATGGAGGCCGTGAAGAGCATCCCCAAGACGCGCCTGAACGCGTTCGTCAGCAGGTAAGGAAAACACACACACATTGTTCGTAGCTGGAGGAAGTGTAGCGCAACTCCACCGCTCCCTTGACCTAACACTACAGAGGTTGGTTTTATGGTTTGTATTTTTTTACGTTTGTTCTTCCATGGCTCGCTTTTCGAGGCCATGGCTCGCTTTTCAAGGAGCCCATCGACGATCGGCGGTCATCGTACTTTGAGGGTGGCGGCACGGTACGGTCGACCAGAGAAGGGTTTTTGACAGGGCGGTATTCTCCATGTACTAGCGCGCGCCGGCATGTTTCCCGTCTCCTTGAGGAGGTGGGAATCTGGCACCTGGACGTTGGAAATACCCATTGGGATCGACGGCATCATTGACGATGTGCTTCACTCCATAGCCATCCTACGGCTTGGAAAAAGATGGAAATCGTTTGTCACTACTCTGTGGTGCTGTTTCGGAGAGTCACCAGGTAGACAACTCTCAATTCTTGTCGTAAGCATGTCGAACAAACGCTTCTTCTCGTGAGCAATGCAGCGTCCGACGCAACCCCCGGCCGTCGACCGAGCCCCCCCCCGTCCCCCCTTGGTGCCTCGCTCCGCTGCCTCCCAGCTGGGTGCAGGAGGTACGCGACAACGTGCAGGACAAGTGGCCCTACCTCAGCCTGCTGCCGGAGCAGCGGACCGGCGAGCCGAGCATCGCCGTGGGCGGGGTGAACACGGTGGTGCCTATAGTGGTACGGGTCCCGCGGACGTCGTCCGAAGGGCCCGACGGGAACCCCGAGGTGGCCCTCGGGTACGAGGTGAGAGAGTGGGGGGCGGCCACGCGCGCGCGCTTGATACGCTCTGCTTCTAACCCCAGCTTGGCCGAAAGAACGGAGAGACATTGCGTTCTTCCGGTCAGCAAGAAAATGCCGCTTTTTTCGTCTTCCCTGTGTTAGACAACGAAACCTCTAAAAGCTCCTACGTCCGGAGATGAAAGTCACCTGTTGTTGGATTTCTGGCGGCGCCGTTTCTTGTCCCTCCGCGTCGTTACGTTTGCCGTCGCCGCCAACCAGGACCTCCGACTCTTCCACCGGCTGCTCTCCGAAGACATAGGCCGGTATCTGCCTCAAGGTGTGCTCGTCCCTCAGAAAATAGTGTCGATATCCCCGCCTTCCCTTGGTCTGCCCCCCCCCCCCCCCTCAAACCAAAGTGACTGAACAAGCAGACTATCCATTGCGCATGCCCCTTGATGGCATTTCTGTTTTACACAGAAATATCCCCCCCTCGAGGCTCTAGCATGCCGAAGTGATGTTTGGTGTGTATTGGTTATCGCCTCCCTTGCCGGAAGATAGACAAATCTATGGTATTTCCTTCAGCAGTTGCCATTCGTTGTTGTTGTTTTTCAACTCATGACGTTTATCTATCGAGATCAGAAATCCATCCCGAGTAGTGGGTTTTATATGCGTTCGGGTGTTGAATGTGGTGCAAGCTAGGATCGGAACCACCTTGGGTATTTCCCCCCTACAAGGGGCGTTGTTTCTCTTCTTTTCAGGTACTGCCTCGTTCTGAACCTCGAGGTGATGTTTTCTCGATAAATGATGGCAATTGCTGACCGAGGGCGTCGAAGATGGTACCAGTACACGCTTTTTTGGTCCACGCAGCAGTGTTCCTACTTGAAGGAGAGTACTTCTCCGCGTACTCTTTTACCACCTGGTGCAACCCTCTGCTGATAAAAACGTTTTTCCGATCGGAGACGACGCCCGCACACCGTCCGTGCCACGACAAACCCACATCGACACGCCTGCTTCACACGCCACACATGTACATACCTCCACCCAGGTCCTACTCCCTCTGCCCCCCCGCCCTTCTACGCCTGTTCCGTTGGGTAGACTTGGCCATGGGCGACCGTGCCGCGGCGCACCTTCGTGTGCTGTTTGGCCAACCGGTCAAGCTGGGCGGGGCGAGCTTCGGCGTGATCCGCATCGCCCTCGGCGCCGATATGCTGATGGACGCCTTCTGCCGCGGAGACCCCCCGCTCTCGGAAGAGAACGTCCCCGCAGCTGGAGAGGGCGGAGGCGTAGCGCGCCTTCTCACCCAGGTGATTTAAACGGCGACTGTGTAACTCAGTGCGCAGTCTTTTTCATCCGAACACAGACAGACTTGGCATCGATTTTTGCTATTCTCCGACAAGTCTTGCTCCGGGCTTTGACCCCACGATTCGCTGAATACCGTGCACACACCCTCGCCGCCGCTTGATCTTGCACGGCATTTCATATCGCTTTCTGGAGAGCGGGCAGGTGAATCAAGCACGAAAAAACGCTTGGTGTCCCCGGCGTGATGCCCCTGCCTGCACCCAGCCATAACCCGCGGATTCGTGGTCATTTGGATGCGAAGCGAGTAGTAACGCCCCCGCCCCAGATGCCCCAACCACGTAATACTTCTCCGTCCGCTCTCCTCGAAAATACCCTTTGTGAAACGGCCTTCCGTTTTCGATATTGTTTGTCGTGAAACTCATATCGTTCATCGCACCAAGGAGGGATGTGTTGCCCCCCCCCCCACCCCCCCCGTGCGCGTCTCACCCCGAGATGACCATCTTTTGAACGAACACACGAAGAACCACGCCCCCGAGGTCAACTCCGGAGCTTCTACGGTTACTTCGATGCCGACCTATGTATATAGACAGCCGACTCGAAGATCGGACTCACCATGACGTGATTCCCCTTATTCACATCCAGGCGCGATGCTTTTGCGACAAGAATCGACGACGTAATTCGCCACTTTGTTTTGCTGTTGTTGTCGCCTTCACCTTAAAAACCGTGCCGATCCACGTGGAAGAGAAGAAAGTCATAATGTTGATCTCTCGCCTGCCGTCTTGGCTGATCGTTGACTCCTTTTTTCCTGCATTCGTTTCCCGCAACAACGTTGGCGTTGTAGGACCGGCTGGCTGTAGACAAGTGCGCCCTCATGGCTCGTCATTGGCACCTTTTGAAGGAGGGCGCCACTGGAGTTCCAGCTTCAGGTACATATCTATTTCAAAGAAAGTGCCGCTTGTGGTAGCTGGACTTACAGCAAATCAGTACTTCGGTAGTTTTTTGCCCCAAGTGTTGCCGACAAAAGCTTTTGGAAGACATGAATGCTTGACTGTTTTCCCTTTGGAGGGGGGGGGGGGGGGGGGG